AAATTGGATGAAATGACAAGCTTTCAGATACATGTACTTGGCTACGAAGCACATCACACTCTATGACCACCTGTTTCAGCAGAGATTTATAATTATGCGTGTCAATTCAGCAGCACAGGTATAAGCCCAAAAGTACACAAAGTTCAGCAAACACATCTGCATTGTGCAACAGCTGGCACATTATCCAACTAAATTCAGTCACCTCTTGCTCTCCATTTCCCTTCTAGATGCTGATGATGATCCACACAAGCCTACAGTGAAACTGGTTCAAAGCAAGTTCAACAACACGGAGGTACTTTGATGGGCACTTAGCCATTCCTAATTGCTGAGAAAAAAAACATCTTCTCTTCAACTCTCACAATTAACTTTTTGAAAAACAATTTAAAAATTCCCATTTCAGAAAATACTTTTTAGTTAAGAAGTTAATCTGCATCAAATAACTTTTCAGCAACCATATTTTTAGTTCTAAATCAAGAACAGTCCTTGCAATAGTTTTCCTCGCAGTAATTATGCTAAAGTTATGCTAATATTTACCCAAAACAGAGGTAATCCACAAAAAGTATGAACTGTTGTGGGCTTTTTTAATAATAAAACACACATATATGTTTTAAAGGTATAAGTCAAGGATAGACAACACAGCAGTTTCACCATCACCACCACTGAAAGAATCAGTCTTCTCCCCTCCCAGCTCAAAGTCACGTCCTGCACCATCCCAGACATCCAGTGAGTCATAAGCAGAAACTAATACACATTAAAAGACATAAAAAAACCTCCAAAATTCGGTTTAGCTCAAATTACTTTCTTCCAACGCCCCACACTGCTCAGGTGCTCTATTTGGCACAAGGGAGTGGGAGAAATACAAGACTTACTGTCAGAGCACTGCTACCTTGAAGCAGTTATGAAACTGCAGCCCAAGACACAAAGCTGAACAATTAACCTTTTACAAGAGTCTTATTAACTCTACAATGAACACGGAGGAGATAAAGTCATTGGGACAAATCCATTTTATAAAGTCAATTACCTGCTTGTTTGGTTTATCAAAGCTGAGGTAATGAAATTATAGGACAGTTCACAGGGTGACTACCACACCACAGCAAAACCCTCCAAAATATAAATACTGATCCCTTCTGCAGGCTGCAGCAACACTTCATATGGATGCTCCCAGAATGCCTGGAGAAAGCAGGTTTAGATACCCAGGAAATAAAAGCAGCTCAAATTTTACTCAGGACCTGAGAGAGACAACAAGTTAAATCATACTGTTCTTCAAGACAGTGGTATTGAAAAGGCCTTTCAAAAGTTTATTTTAAAAAGAACTAAGAGTAAAATCCTAATGGCTTGCCAAAAAAAACCTATCCTGCTAAAAATCTGACATTAGGTAACACATTCTGACTTTTCTCGAAATAGTAAAGCAGTATATTCTTATGTTCCAATCTTCACAAAAAAACCAAACACTGTTTTTTTTTTTTCCTTTAATTTACTATAAAACTACAGCACAGAACAAATCCTACAATGTTACAAACCATCAGTAATTGTCAAATTTTTGGTGCCAAACCTCACTTGAAGAGAGCTGCGAACGTATTGCACTCCCGTTTCTCCCCCTCCGCTGGAGCTCTCTCTACTCTATGAGGCACCAGCAATCTATGGCAGTGCATTTCTAGAAGGAAGCAGTGGGCACCAAAGGCTCGACCTCCCCTCTATAAGCATTTCATTCCTGCTTCAGACTAGCCCTAGTCCGCTCTCACAAAACAATGTGGCTGAAGTACATCTTCCAACCTAGTTTTTACCAAAAAAAGGCATCTGCTCTATGTCTTTCGGGTGCTCTGGTTCGCATTGCAAACTGGTCTTGAAGTGAGGAGGACAGGCATGTGACTTACGTCAAAAGTTCGCTCCAATCCAGTCTTCTCACTCCCGGTAGGCTCGAACCGCCAGCTAGTTCACCTGGACTTCACCAACTCTGCCCAAGGCCACAAAGGCATCTCTACACTGGACTCTCTAACACAGGCAGGACAAAACACAACTCCAGAACAAAAATCTTAGTTGGTCCTACATGGGGGTAGCAGAGGTCTTGGCAGAGCTTATTCAGTTTGGCTCTGTACTGTGCCTCACTGGTTGGAAAACCTGCTCTAAATTAGCATCAAAATAAACACCTCTTATCGAAGTCCAGATATTCCTGCTCATTACAGTAATCAGAAGCTAGCAGTGCTGGAAAATTTTTCTTGTGAAGACATAGGTCTTCTCTTGGCTTCCAAAATTACACATGTGTTTTGGTTTTGGGTTGTTGGGGTTTTTTTTTTAGTGAACTATTCTGAAAACAAAAAGTCATGGCTAAACATTCAGTAATTCGCATCAGCACAAGGTTTTAATTTATTCCTGAAATCTGGTTCAAACACTGGAACAGGTACGGTTGAACGCATATGAAGTTGTGTGAAGACTATTAGGATTTTGCTGGAAACAGTCACCCAAGAGCCATACAATTAAATAACTACAGCACTACAATGAAGCATGGGAGCGCTCCAGCAGTCCTGTGATCTGCACAACACCTCAACACTTTATTCAAAAGGAGCCTGCCGAACAGAACTCAACCAGGAGACTGTAAGCACGCTATTAAACCCTATGCCAAAACCTGGACATTTTAAAATCCACATTTACCCACATTTTAAAATCCATTAAGACAATTATGAGGCAGAAATCATTCTTTCATTTCCATTCACTGCCATGCCTGGTGATTTTCACTTCGTTGACTCATTTTTGTACCAACAGCGTAATAAAATCTACCTTGTGTTTTGGAAAGTATGGTTTGATACAGCTTTTGTAAGAACGTAGCATTAATTGCAGAACGATATGCAGCAGGCTCTCCACACACTCGACAACACTGGCTAGAAGGAAAGAAATGAGTAACGTTTAATGGCAAGCCTATTTGGAAACTGGGTACAATCCATATAGCCATATTCCAAAGTTAGGGTTTCATTTTGTGCCATCCTGTAAGGATATCTGACGATCAAATATAAGGCTAGTAAAGTGTTTCCAAGCTTGACAGCATTTCTACAGCTTTTCCGGCTTCTGTCAACCCCTTCAAACTGAAGTTAACAGCACTGAGCGTCACGGCTGGCCGTCTGTACCATTCTGCACAGCATCCCAACCAAGTCACATCAGTTTTCCCAAGAAGCAGTTGCCAAGAACTACAGAGGAAGTAAAACACTATCCAAGAGAAAGAGCGATTTTCTCCCCCACTGCCTCCCCCCCTTCACCAGAACAAAAATAAAACAAAAACCTTGAGTTTCAGAGAAAGGTTACAGGAGTAGAGTTATCTTCTCTCTTTGATCTCCCACTCCTTAAAAACAACCCAAAGATTACAACATGTCTTCAACAGCAGTAACGTCTCCCTCTTGCAACAGCCAGGACTCTGCAAGACAAGGCAGAGAAACCTTTCTTTCTAACAGAAAGAACTAACTCCTCAGTCATACAACAAGTAGTATCTGGAGGGCAGAGATCAATCCTCCAAAGAGGTTCTCTAGCCAGTGCCCTGCCAGAAGCCCCAGGCATGTCATGTCTGGCAGTAACCAAGACTGTGTACAGCCATGACTTAGCACCAAAACAACATTTGTTCTATCAATTTTTCTTCTCCTTACTCGAGGGTACAGGAGTAAGATTTAATTGTTGAGTATTTCTTTTACATATAAAACTAAGTTAAACAGAACCACGCAAGCCATTTAAAATGGCATACAAAACCACTAAACAACCACCAGATACTGACCTTAAAAAAGACGCTGTGAACGAAAGGAATTTTTCTCAGATTGCAAAGCACAAGTGTTCGTAAAAGGTCAGTAGTTTCAGCGATGGGAATCAACATCAAGCATCCCTGGTCTACTGAGCGTTTACCATCCCGCCTTTCAACACAATTTCTACAGCCTTTTTCACTTCAAAACTGCAGTTAAAGACATGTTCCTGGCAGCCTACATACCAAAATGCCATCCCTCTCCAAGAGTAGAGGGATGCAGGAAAGACAAAGAGGGAAATGACTGTGGAAATGAAATTTAGAAGTATTCAGAGAAACTTTCCAACATCACTTGGGCCACAAAACATCATCCCAAAGGGTGGAAGAGGAATCAAGCACTTAGGACGCCGCATGACTTGTAATGGGAAAAAATTAAAGCCCCATTTTCACGCTCGGTGTGACCTTACAGCGTCTAAAAGCAGAGCCTGGTAACTTTTCCTCTTTGGCCTCAACTCCAAAACACCGTTCAATAGTTTATTCTGTTCCCACGACGAAAATTTAGGTCATCTGCCCCGAAACACCCCAGGAAGACAATAAAATAAAAAATAATAAATAAAAATAAACAAATACCACCCACCCACCCACACCTCCCCCAAAGCCCAAAACAAAGCATCAGCCCCCAGCGCAGCAATGACTCTGCAGGAGCAGAGGCGCGGAGCCCAGCGCGCTTTCGGACACCCACCCCCACCCCCTCGGTTGCCGTCCGCCCCCGGGGCACCGCTAAATGGCTGACACCAACTACACCGCCAGCCGGGTGCCCCACCCCCCATCCCCAACCAACCGGCA